TTCAGGTGTTGTCTTTATGGAGGCAGAGGTGTGTTTGTAGTATGAGCTGTTTGCATGAGAAAGTAACTGGAGACTGAGATGAGCAGAGCTTTTGGTGTTTCAGCAGAAAGAGTTTTGGATGAAATTGGACTGTTCGTCTAGATTTCAGGTGCTAACACCTGTGAGAGTGAAGTTGTTGGTGCTGTAGAGGTGGAGAGAGTTGGGAGCCAGGGTCAGGCAGTCTGATCTGTGGAATCACAGGCTCTTATGCTTCACCTTGTAATGAGTCAACATCTTGGGCTTGATTCAAACATCTCTCCCTTTAAGAAATCCACTCTTGCTTTGGAGACAGACAGAGTCTAAAGCATCTACTGGCAACTAGTTCCCCACACTGAAGAGGCTTGCTGCTTAAAAAAATTAAAGAAAGCAATTCACCCTGGAGATTGTCGTTCTCATTGGTGATGGTAGCATGTGCTTTTCTAGACCAGTCCTGAAAGACACGCGCAGGCAGATGTTCACAACCGACCGTGAGAGCTGCAGGAGCTTGCCCAACTGCCCTACTGGACTCTGACATTTCTACTCAATGTGTTTTGTGCTTATTGGAAACACATGGTCACAGTCCATTCCCAAGCTCCTTCACACCACAGAGTTTCCATCATCTGCAAACAAGGGCCATCACCACGTTCCCACAAGTGCTTTGGCTCACTCAGCAGCCTCATTTGGTGAACACGCTGCATTGGGCATGATGGTTTCGCCTGTGAGGGGATCCCCTTCAGACCCGTGGCGCTGCACGGGGCACCAGCAGAGCTATCGAGTGACATGCTGAAGCGGTTTCCATGCATGACCATCCATTATGACTTTGTTACTGTATTGGGTCTGTCGCTGGAGCCGTCTGCCAGGGCAGACCTGGCAGGCGGGCAGCCCAGATGCCCGCCTGAGATGATATTCCCTGGCTCCGGGCAGCAGCCGAACCAGCCTGCAGGAGCTGGGCACTGTCTTCTTGGAGGTAATTTGCCAGGGTGGCATTTGCTAGCAGTTCTTTGCTTAAGGCCCTGTTGTCCTTTTAGGGGTGAAAAGGCATGTTTCAGTAGGCAGTGGTGGATTTGGCGCAGGAACACCTGCCATAGTGCTGCCTCTGTGCCAGTACTCATCTTCCTGACTGCTTCTGCACCAGCTGCCACGAGACTTATTATACCAACTCAAAACCAATCTCCTCCTGCTACAGCCGTCTTTTATATCTGTCTCCAAAGCTAGTGTGGTTCAGCAAGAAGAGCTTTTTAATGATTCCTGCCCAATAAGCTTATGCAGAGTCAGTACGCCTAATTCTAGTCCTAATCCATGGAAAAATGCCGCCGCTTTATTTTGCGGATGTGGAAAGTGTGTGTTGTAGAGCTGGCAGCAGGTTTTGTCATCCACGCTGCGAGACCATTGAAGCTTTTGCCGTCCTGGGAGCACAGCACAGCAGCTTTGTGTTAGAGGGGCTTTTGTTATAAAAGATGCTTCCGGAGGGACCGGCTTGTGTTCGGCTGGAGACCTTTCACCAGCTGCATAAGGACTCCGGGAAATGGCACGGCATGCTCAGCTTGCATGTGGCAGGGGGAAAAAAGCAGAGCTAATGATTGACTATTATTTTAAGGGGATTATCTAATCCACAGCCCAGAGGACAAGAGGGACCAAAATGAGTGAAGATTGAATACATAATTAGTGCAGATTGTTGGTAATGCCCTCTGGACTCTGACTGATTATAAACAGAAACAGATTTTTCTAGTTCCCCCCTCCCTGCCCCAAAAAAGCCTTTGCAGGCCAAAGGGCAACTTTATAGTAGAAACTGTTGCAAATTAAGTGGGTGATCAGAGCTGGAGCAACGGAGGCATTTAATGCGGAAGATGGCTGGGAGGGGGGAGGCAGAGGAGCAGCTTCTCTCGGGTTATTTTGCAGTGTACAGGCAGAGTTTTGGGTGGAAGTGACCGAAATGGCGTACGTGGGAGGTTAGTTTTTGTTACACCACCAGCCATCCTGCAGCTCCATCCCTGGCACTGGAGCTCCTTCTCTCCCGGCGCCTGTGGGGAGCAGGAGATGCAGGGGTGCGGGTGGTGACCTGGACTAACCAGAGATCCTAAAATAGGCTGGAAATGGTAACGGGGCCCTCTCAAGAAGTACCTGATTAGGAACATTTGCTAATTTGAATTCCTGGATTTGAAATATGATGAATATTATTACATATTTTTAATGTTGTAATTGTCTGGACCTGGATATCAGCTGCCTCAGGTCTGTTAGAGGCTAATACCTTTTATTTTCCTTTTCACCGATGTATCAGAGGTCATTAGAAGTTAAGTGAAAGGGATTTGCAAGAGTTACAGGTCCGTTATTAATGCAAAATAAAAGATGTATGGCTAAATCCATCAAGCCTAAAAATACAATTGGGCACAAATTAGGCCAGAGAAGGAAATAATGGAAGGAACAGTGAAAACAAATGGCATACCCAAGCACTAAACTTCTGAAGCGGTTAAACAAGGCTAGGAAAATAGCTTTCAAATCTCTAATGACAAGAGGGTTTCTGTTCCCTGCTCTTTAATTTGGTCAGAGAGGATGGATGAGAGAATCGCCATTCCTATTTGCGTGAAAGGCCATGATTTAAAAAATTACTTAAGTTCAGGTGAAATCCCAGAATTTGAAATTTTCCTGTGTAAAAGAGTATGTTTGAAATTAGCATTTTGGTACGCTTTGGCTGAACATTTCCAACACGATTCAGGATTCAGCTGCTGCATTGCGAACCATGCAGGAACTCGCACCTCGTAACTCACAACATCGCAGAATGAGACTTTAAATGGGAACGTGAAAACCCTTTGTGCTCTTAAGGACCTTGCTGAAACACTCCTTTGTTTCAAATTTCTTTTCTACTCTGAAGGTGAGAGTAGTTACTCAGTTCCTGTGGAATTTTTTTTTTTAGTTTTGCTAGGGTATCCAATAAGAGAATATTCTGCCCCAAAAACTCTGCTGATGGGCTGCAGATTGCTGGTCTGGAAGCAGACGGGTGCCTGATGGTACTGTGATCCCATGGGGCATCTTTTAGGTTTTAGGAGTCTTTGGAGTGTGTGGAAACACCTTCTGAAACACACCATGGCAGGCTGTCGTTGCCCTGATCGGATGTCGTACCAGCTGAGGAGTCTGGTGTAAAACAACCAACTAGAAAATAACCTGCCATCATTTAATTAACTCAAAATCCCTTCACTTACTCTGCAGACAAGAGCTTGGGAAAATAAGATGATGCAGCCAGGCTGCTCCCAAACATCCCCTAAGCCTGAGCATCCCTTGTGCCAGAGGGAGGTTTTCTTCCTGTGCTTGGAAAGGAGCACAGGATGGGCAGAGGTGGCCTCCCAGCACATCCCTTTCAGGGTAGCACCTCCTGCTCTGCCCGTCTGTGTGCCGCTCTGGAGTACAGCAGCATATCTGTACTCTTAAGAAAAGCGAGAAAGTTGTGGAGATGAGGAATCACAGTATCTGTGGGAATGTCCTTGAGAAGTCAGAGTTTACCAGACGGGTTTTGCTTGCACATGGCCCTTTGTGTGCGTGAATATCTGCGCCCTTTCAGCCATTTCTGACCTTCTTTGATGGCCCGGGCTGACTCACGTGTCATACTAACATCGTTACGCTTTTGTTTTGCAATGTTTGGGTATTTTTGATTAAGAAATTCTGCCTGTTTGCCTTGGCAGTGGTGCTCATTGGACTGATGCGGTATTTTTTAGCTAGAGTGTTTATTCAGCCTCTTGGATTTTTCTCAGAGGTGGGTGGAGTGGGATGGTCCAAACTTGTCAGTATGCTGGTGATCCACGAGGGCTTGTGAAAGGCTTGAGCCAGGGTCTTTTCTGATGGAAACCACCAGCTTCTTCCATTTCTGAAGGCCAGGCTCTGGAGATGAGATGAACAGGCTTAACTGATTCCTATCCAGGTGAGAAACCTGAACCCCAGAAGGAGATGGCAGCAACATGAAAAGGGGGGTGTCAAGCATGGGTGTACCCTCTCGGTCCAGATGCTCAGCCAGCACAAATGCCCCAGGTGGATCTGGCTAACGGTATCTTAAAACACCTTTTTCTTTTTGTTCTTGGCCCTGAGAATTGCTGAGTTTTTGCCTTCCCACATTGTCTATTTGGACTTTTTTGTTCCTCCCTGTCCCAGAGAGACAAGGACAACTGTGACTTACTGCTCAGCAACTCCTTTGCAGCCAGTGGTCGGTTCCTACAAGCTTTTCCCCTGTTAATGTCATGCTCCTCTGCCAGGACTATCAAAACTTTTATACTGGACATTTTCTTGGGTTGGAGTTCCCATGTGCTTCATCTCAAAGTCCCCCTGTTGCAACACCAGCATGCCCAGGGTGAATGATCCATTCACATTCCTCGCTCTCCGGGGCTTTGACGAGGTGAACAGGGGATGGGATGGATGTGCTGTAAGGAGCGTATTTTGCACACACTTATGTAAGACTGCAGAAATGCAGAGCTCCTCAGGTCTTCCAGGCAGGAGGTGTTTGGTGAGCAAAGCCTTATTCTGGCTCTGGGTTAGGGAGAAGGACTTGTGGTCGCCTGGACTTCCTCACTCCTGCACGCATCCTTGTGGTGTCTGGGGAGCAGACATGATTTGTATTGTTAAACACCTGCTCTGAAGCTCAGCTGATTTTCATTGGGAGTAGCTTTCCAGTAAGCCAGATCCCTCTTATCTCCTGCTTTCTTTCTGGGGCACCTTGTAGTTGTGATTTTTTTGGTCTTTCCAAGCATAAGGTTTGGTGTAGGGTACTGGGAGGCTCTCTGGGACCGGGGCTGGGTGCAGGACTGACAAGGTGTTTGCTAAGCTCTTTTGGCCCATCCACCTGTGCCATGATGCCTTCACCCACAATCGGACCCAGCTGTTCCCAACTGCCGGCACAGGCTGCCCCAGGGACCCCAGTGCTGGCAGGGTCTGGATGTGCCGTACGTCAGGATGCTGCACGCACTGCCTGTAACTAACGACCTCTCTCCTTCTGCTTTCAGAGCTGGCCTACGACCTGGATATGGATGACACCTCTGCAAACAAGCAGCTCCTGAATCAGCAAAGCAAAGATGGCACCACGGTCCCCGGCAGCGATCCCAGGAGCGTGGCCCCCCGCCCTGGCCCTGCTGCTGCCGTTACCCTGGCTCTGTCACTGCTGCTAGGCCACCGGCTGTGAGCAGTGCTGGTGGCATTACTCCATGTCTCTCCATGGCTTTTTTTAATGAGGAAGACATTTGGAACCTCTTCTGAAATATATGCACATTTCCAAAGAGAGGGCAAGTGACTTGAGTCGGTTTTATGAAAGAATATGGTGTCTTCACACAAAAAAAAACCTCCTAACAAAGCATTTGTTCATGGTAAACTAGTAAATATGTAACAGCGCTTTTTAAAGATAATCCTGTTTACTATAAGAAGGTTCATACTAAATTGTACTCCTCGCAGTTTTTGACATCTCCCTTGCTGTTAAGTTAAAGACCATCCTAAGTTGTTTGAACACACATGGGGTACAGAACACCTACAATTTATGAAATACTCTCAGCAAATATGAGACCCCTGATCCTAGTTGACTTAATACAGATTTTGTCTGTAGTTCAAGCAGTTTTTGTACTTACTCAAAATTCAAGCCTCACCCCTAGGAATCTGTCCAGGCACATAATATGGAGGGTATGTGAAGACAGGGGAGAGAGGAGGTCAGACATACGGCAGAAGGAAAGCTGCTGCAGAAGAGAAGTCATGCACCAGGGTTGTTGAGGAAATGTGCTCCCATGGGCACGAAGAGCACTTGCATCATGGCAATTTGCAGGTGATTTTGCTGCTCGCCTCCCAGCCAGGTCCTGTGAAGCTCTTCAGTGCAGGTGGCCAGTCCCCACCAGCATCCCCATGGCCCGTGCAATGCCCTGGTTTTATTCTTCAGAAGCAAAGCACCTCCTTTCCCACGGGAAATCTGCAAACACAGCTCCAGCCAAAGTACAGACGGCGTGAATGTACGCGTTGTGCTTTACAGGGATGAACGACGAGTGTCCAACTCATTGTGCTGCGAGGGAGGAAAAGAAAAGGATTTGCAGGAGCCTGAGGCAGATGAGACTATTACTCATGTGTTTCTTTGCATGTTACTTTACTTAAGCTATCTCTAAAATAAAGGTTGGTTGCTCTATAAATGGTGTGCTGGAAGTAGCCTCCCATGTGTGCGAGGCAATGCTCTGCCTTGTTCTGAAAGTGGGCAGCCTGAAAAGGCCAGCAGTGCCCGGCTAGGGAGCACCACGGAAAGGCTTGGCTTAGTCGGATTAAACAGACAGGCTGGTGCCAGGAAATGTTTGGTTTGATTTGGTTCCTGGCCAAAATGGTTACATATTTCTGTTTAAGATGCTGCCTTTACTAGAGTGATTATATCCGCAGTAGCTTAAGCCGCAGTGTCTACATGTGTGTGTGCATGCACACACTCACATGCCACGTGCATGCTTTAAATATTTGTGTGCCTCAGACCTTTTTAAAAGCAACTTTATGTTTGGGAGAAAGTACATAAATCTAAACCATGCAATCACATGGTTTGGAGAGCAGAAACTTTACTACCTAGTGTAAGTGGTGGGGCTGATCTGGCTGACCCTGATTTGAAGCTCTGGGATCACATGAAGTGCTTCAGGAGCCGGGGCAGAGGGAGAGCTGGCTGCTCACCCTGCTCCTCTGCTTGGGGACCTTAACTCCCAATTCACTGCTCCTGATGGAGAGGAGTGGATCTGGGCTAAGCCCTGATGTGACCTGCTGGTTAATGGTTGGAGAGAGCTGTCCTCTGGGTTTCAGACCTGTCATGTCCCATCCACATCAGGGTGAGCACTGGGGATGTTTGAGCAGTGCTGGTGCCATACGGTATTCCTGTAAGTGCTGATTTTTTTACATCCATGCTGGTGTGACACGTATTTGTATATACAAGTTTGTATTTTACATGTTCACAAACCAAACTGCAATCCTGTCCATCTCTCAGGATTGACACTTGGCTGGGGATCCCTCAGGTCAAAGAGTCCCAGTGCATGGGGGTGACGTGGGGCAGAGCCATCAGTATTGCTGGCACAGGTATTTCTTCACCCTCCTGATGCTTCACTCTCGCGTTGGCCCAGCTCTTCCCATCACCCCTGCTGTCCATACCACAGCTGGCTGTGCCCGTGAGCCTCTGCTCCACCAAAGGGAATATTTTATTAGCACCACTTGAATTCCCATCGCTTCTTCCCTTCTGATCATTTTCCTTTCATCCCCCTGGAGTGCTGACGGTGGGAGCGAGCCGCTGGGTTTGTTTGGAGATGGTGTGCTGCCTCTGCCTCGCCAGGTGTCACTGGTACCAGCATGGGGATGTTCTTGCCTCTAATACTGTGTTGGAAATAGAATCTGTGTGCTGCTGCTTCCTTGGGTAAGCAGCAGGACGGGATGGTGGCACTGACTCTTCTGCAGTGCACATCCAGCATGCTTTCTTTCTCTCTTAGGTAGATGGCACGGGCTGTGCCTTGCTGAGTGTCTCACAGAGCCTGCTGGGTTTTGCTATGCTGCATCACTGCAGTGTGATGCTGATGCTTCTCAGCAGAAGACCCCTCTGTAGCACTCTGAGCCCGGTTTCCCATTGCATGCACATGCTGTTCAGCAAAGCTATGCTTGTTGGAGAATTCGTTATGATAAGTGATCACAAAAAACACCCTTTGAGCCTGCTACCTGCTAAGTTTGTAAAATAATGCATTGTAACTTGAAAAAAAGCTGTTTATTTTTACCCTGTGATGCATCTGTGCATGTGCTTTGGTAGGGGTTCTGCAAGGGATGCCCTGGCCACCAAGGTGGAGTAAAGGTGGTGTTCATTTTTGGGCAGCATTTCATTCCCATGTTGTGAGAAATAAGGAATAATTGTTCCCTGTTTGTTTCTCCCCACCACTGCTGCTTACTGTGACCTGTGTGCCATGGGATGGGACATATCCATCAGGAAATGGACACCGTCACCTCCCCTGTGTATGCGTACCTGGAGCTCCATGCCTTGTCCCAGGGCTCACAGTTTAACGGCTAACACACAGTTGAGATTATTTCAATTTTTCTTAGTATATATATATTAGTAATGAGTATACTTATCATATATATGGTAATGTATTTCTATGAGTCAAGGAGGTGCGGGGCTTGAGCTGCCGGTAGGTGCCGGGGCAGCATCTCGGCTGTGCTCACAGTGCGGTGATAACAGGTGATCTGGCTTCGGCACCGGCAGTGGCCACATCTGGCCAGCAAGGCGTGTGGCCAGAATAAATATCTGTCTGGTTTTCTGCCAGTCGGAAAAGCAGCTGAACAGAGGATTTTATGTCATGGAGGTTCTTCTGGGAAAAAAGAAAATTGGAAAAAACCCTTTTCTGGATAATTTCTAGCCCTGCGGTGAAACTCAGAGCCAGTCCTGAGCTTTTGCTGCCTCTGGTGCCTGAGTGTCCCCATGCAGAGCCTTGGTGGCTGCCCTCCGTCTGCCAGCGCTGTGTCCTGACGGTGCCTCGTGGGATTGTCACCTTGTGCCGGTGCCAGCTAAAGGCCCAGCGACCTTGGGGAAGGTTTCCTATCTCAGGTGGTTGAGCCCTTACCCCCTGCCAGTTAACCTTAACGCTTTCTGGCTGGTTTTACAGCTCTTGTTAAACTCCCGTGGCAGCAGCGGGGTGGCCGGGAGCCTGCCACCACCATGCACATCCCGTGTGCAGCAGGGGTGAGCAGTGTCACACTGCATGTAAAGCCATTGCATCTCTGTGCCGGTTTGCAAGCAGCCTTGAAAAGGTAGCGAAGCCAGCACCTTTCCCCGTGTCTGAGGGTGGTGATGAGATGCAAACATGTGCTTAGCATGTGTAGTGTACTTCTGTAGTAACCATGCATCAAATTATAATTTAAAACCAAAATATTTTTGTTGGATGGGAAGTCCTAGTTCATTAATCAATTGACTAATAGTTTAGTGCTGGAATGGTATAATCTAATACACTTAACAGCTGCTAGAAACAGCTGGTGCTTATGGCTCATGCTGTTTTGGGAAGTGAAATCTAGAGTGTCTCAGTTTTGATTTTCAGAGAGTTTTTCGGAATTGCTCGTTCATGTCCATGAGCAAAGCCCTCAAGCACTCTGGAGTGGAGACCCAGCAGGGATGTGGGACTAGCTTCGCTGTGGCTTCCAACTGAAACAAAATTCCCCTTGCATGGAGGATGCAGAGAGCACCAGCTGTGTCTGCAAACGTGGCAGCTGGACACGGGGGTGTTCCTGCGGGTTTGCATAAGGGGGACCTGCGTAATCCCATGCTGTCAGGTGTTTTGATTTGCTTTTGAGTCAAAACCAGTGCATGCTGAGCTGTGGGTACGGCAAGGGAGATGCCACCAACCAGGGGGGCAGTTCCCAGCTGCTCCCTGGTCCTGGAGGGCACTCAGTTGAGGCCCAGGCCAGCTTCCTGGTGAGGCAGCACGCTGGGGACTGCTGTGTCAAGAGGGGAGGGGAGGAGGTGACCACCTTGAACTGCCTCCTGCCCTGCTTTTTCAGCAGCTGCTGGTCCATAGTGAGACTTTTGCAGCCATGCAGGAGGCGGTGGTGGGGACAGTCCGGGGCAGAAGAGGCACAGGGAGCAGGGGGATGAGTAGGCTGCTTCCAGGGACCAGACATGGGATGTTGTGTAAGTCTCTGAAGTAAAATACAGGAAACCACACAAAGACCTCGGAATGCTCAGAGCAGAGCCATGGGTGCTGCTGAGATGCCTCCTTCCAACCTTAGAGCACAGAGCTCTGTGGTGGGACTGGCCATGGCCAAGTCCACTGGACAAGTCCTGCCCTGGAGGCTCTCTAGCTCATGTAAGCTAAAGCATCTCAGAAACATCATTTGGTTCCCAAACACTTGGATGCCTTGGTGGGAATTTCCCTGACCTTTCCAGCAGCACGGCAGCTTAATGATTGACAAACGCTGCTAAAGCTTTACTGGTTCATGTGCCACACGCCTCAGAAGCAGGTGTCCATTCCCAGAAACCTGGGGATTTTCCAGTGTGAGCACTGCAGCTGGGGTGACTCAGCTGGGCATCAGCAAAGTCACAAATCCTCCCTGTGTGTTATTTGTTGCTTTAGCAGGGAGCCGGCTATGGAGATGTCAGGGGGATGAAATCCACAGCCAGAGGGGAATGAGGTGAAGCTATCATGTTGGAGGATGCTC